TACCAAATTTCTTCCTCTTTCCCCCCATCCTCAGTCTTCCAAACAAATGAAAGGAAGAAATTATTGCAGTGTTCTTACCCTGATAAATATTTAGTTGGATTTTAGTTATTTCCACCATTTGAAAAATAAACTAGTAAGTCTGATCTTACCTTCATGAGGTTCTTTTCCACATCGTCATGAACTAAGTCTATACCCTTCCGCTTCTCACGGTGGTACAAGCATTCTAGGGCTATCTGCAAGCAAACCAAGGAACATTTGCAATAGGCTCACTACTGCACTGTGGAGTGAAACCTTGAACCTTGCTGAAGGGGCCACTGAGCTAACGTGTCAGGTAATGACCATCTATTGAGGGTGGAACAGAACAGGAGGTGGTTTCATTGCGTCCAACTGATCCATCTTAGTGGCTTATTCCTACTTACTTGTTAATGCATACTTTTAAGGATTAGCTGCCACCATAACTGTCATATGATTAGCTGCTTATTGATGTGCAGCAAAGCCTACATCTCAACATGACCAAGCTTTGTTGTAACTTATGTGGATTAAAACACCTGTGTTGTTCTACACTCATCCGTAGCAAAATCCTTTAATCCTGTCTCCCCTCATCCTCCCTTACCCAATGCCAAAGTTTGGAAGTTTCGTTCCTATACAACAGAATGACTGCATAACTACAGTCATTGAATAGAGAATTCAGTTAATCTGCCCCAGCAGGTTAACTTTACTCTTAATGTCTCATCCACTTGTTTATTACCATACTAATAAATGAAACGGCATTAACTGGTACAAAGCCTTTCAGCAGAAAATGTTCCCTGAATAGAAAGCATCCTCAGCCTGCCACTCTGAATCAGGACAGATACAGACAACTAAAAAAGTCATTATTGAATACTGAATTTTGGTTTTCTATTTGTACTTACCTAGAAGCACGATAAAAGTAGCTTCTATCAGCAGTATTCCAGATGTTTATGACGGAACTTTGACTCTAGTCTTTGCATGTTTTGAGTTTTTGCTAGGATCATTCATTGAGTCTTATATTACTGTGGCTTTTTCTGTTGCAATTAATTTGCCTTTAAGATTCTGGAGAGCTTCCAAATGTAACGCAAATGATATGCTATCTAAGTCAAAATATTATTTTCACCAAGCAATAGCAGAAAATTCAGAGCTAGATAAGAATATTGGGATATTGCAGCTTACAGGGCCATCTACTGCTCTCCTGTAATGTACCTGAGTGGACCAGGCAGTGCCTGAGGGTGACTCAGCTTCCTGGAGCCTCAAGCAGAAAGGAAGGAAAAGAGGGCATAGAAATGTCTTGATAGGTTCCTTTGTTGACTTTTATATATAACGCCCATGGTGGCCAGGTTTCCTTCTTACTGAGGGTAATGTTTCACCAAGATCTGTCTTGATGATAATAGTAAAAGTCATACTAGTATTCAACAGAGATAAAGCCGTTTTCTTTACATGTTCTGCAGTGCAGTCATGAAATAACTAGCTATGTCAAGCCTACCTTCAGTGGTCCTTGCATTTCATCTACAGCACATTCGAGCCGGTTCTTTGCTGTTTCCAAAGCTTGAGTCTCTTTCAGCAGACACTCTAGCTCATAGGTGAGCTCAGATCTCCAGAAATCAATGCTGGAGATCCTCTCTCCCAGGTTTCTTCTACTGTCTTCTTGCATCTGATAAGTCAGTTGATCCTTATCTTGTATCAGTCTCATTGAATCAGCGTTCAGCCTACCAGCGCAGCACCTGGAGGCTTCAGAGCCTTTTAATTGAACCATGTTCTCCTGGTGCCAGTCACGAGTGCTGTAGCGGGCGTGCAGGGCAGAGCGTAATGCAGGCAGAACAGTGGGCGGCGGTCCAGTGGGATTAAATTGCTTGTTAGAGCCAGGAGGGACTGAAACCACTCTGTGAAGCAGGCTGGGCCTCCAGGAGCTGAGGTGGCAGTAGCCTGGTAGGTAGTAGGACTTATAGGTGTCCTTGGTGGTGCTCGTGGGAGCTAGATCCGGGAACAGGCAGCTGTTCTTTGTGCCACAGTAACTGGCTAGCTGCGTGGTCCCCAGAAACTCCATCCTGCACTGGGCTCAGGCAGCCACCCCCGGGCTGTCCAGCAGCCACTCTGACATCCCCGGGGCCTCTGCCACCCTTCGTGGGGCTGCGCAGCGCCTTGTGACACAGCAGAGGTGTCACAGAGTTCCGAGGGCTGATCGCCTTGCCGCAGGCTGAAACCCACCTGGGTCCCGATGGTCTGGGGGGCCTCCTTTTGTACCTTCTGTCCTAGGCACGTCGTTTTTCCCACAGAGAGGCGGTGCTTTCCCCTGCAGAGCAGCACCCTCCACGTTGGGACCCAGAGGTCTAGACAAGGTGCGAGACTATTTGGTTACAGTGCAGAGGGATTTGCCAAAGGCTCACTCTGGACGGGTCTATAGGTTTACCTTCAGTGCGCTTACCTTGAGCGAAACGACATGTTTTACTTCAGAGTGGTTCACATACATCAGTTAGTGACTGCAGAGAAACGCAGCAGTGGAGACAAGCCTTCCGAACTGAAACACAGACTCTGGAAGTCATCTCTTAGGATTGTCTAGTGATCTCTGCAGAGGGTTTGGTCCAAATGGACAAAAATAATATATAACTATCTTGGGCCTTGCTCGTCCCCTCAACTGTATTCATCTTCCATAAAAAGTGTAAAAGATGGGAGAGACCTTCCGATGATGTTGATTTTTCTCCAGTTTAAAACATTGAGTAACTTCTCAGATAACTAACTTTCCTACTCTTTCCTTTCAGCCTTCTGGCCTGTCTGGCAAAAAAACTGCTGCTGAAATTCAGTGCTCTAAAATTGCATTGCAACCCATTTGCTGTGCCAAGAGCTTTGAACATAAATAATTATTTGTAATTAAGCACAGTATTTCACTATCCTGAGTCCTTAAATCAGCACAGATTTCTTCTAGGTTGAATGCAAGACAATTGCAATCGTTTCTTCGTCTCCAGATATATAACTATGAAACAGCTTGTTAACCTTTTTTTCAACCTGGGGAAATAAAATATATGTATGTATATATATGCATTACATTACAGCATACCTTGTCTCAGAAAGCTAGTGTGACATTACACCCCAGCTAAAAAAAGTAGAGGTAATTTTAAATAAATGGTCATTGTAAGTTAAATTTATCTTCTCATGATGTTTAAAATATATACAAATCTAAGTGCTAACTGTAGGGCCGTGAGGTATGGGCATTGGAGCTATGCTCGGTGGACAGGCACCAGCTTGGGGTGTATAAACAGGGTAAGATCAATACTGCAAATGCTCACACACACAAAAAACTTTCCTCTTGCAATGACTGATGGAACTCATTCTCAGCAGCTGTTCAGGAGGGTAAAGTTAATCCCAAGCATGAGAAATTGTAAGAGTGCTGGCAGAGTTCACCCCTGAGTTCAGCCTGACTCAAACACTATAAACACTATAAAGCCCATTTTTTGCCCAGATACCCCTGCATGAAGAGCCCTTGCTGGCTCGGGGGAAGATGGGTGCTGAGGAAGAGATTTACTTTTCCTTTTTGGTGCTTTTTGTGAGGAATGTTCTATATAACCTCGGGAACAGGAAATGATCTGTTGGCCCCAAAAGAAAAATATTTGAACACGTACCTCAGTTTAAAACGTGGAAAGCCCTGCTGACATCAGTGAATCTAATCCATATGTTCGAAAGGAAGCACAGACCTAAAGCGCTGTACTTATGTACTGACCTGTGGTCTAAAGCAGAGCCACATTTTTAATACAAAAGGTACAGTATAAATTTCTCAGATATGTCTTACTGGCCAGTTCCTCCCACTCCAGACATTTGAATTTGCTTAAACATTTGGATCTACTTCCACATGACATTTTTTTCATTAGTTTCCCATAGAAGATAATTACAGAGCAATAAGTACAGAAGTTGTACAAGTATCAAGTAGCGATGAGCATTTACCTGAGGTAAATCTACTTGAAATGGAAATAGCATATTTGTTAATGACTGAAAAACAGAGGCCAAACTCCTCAAACACCTTAATTAAATGTATTTTAACTTTTTTTTTCTAAGTATTGTTTTGGAGGCAGACAGTTATTCAGAAGTTTTTGTGGTTCCCACCGCCCCCGTGTGTTCTTTCTAAAAACCTTGCAGTTGTTGAAGTGGAAAGTGTACATAAAAAGATAACTTTGCAGTATTTTTCTCGTAAAAACACAGATTTAACACCAGGATGTGCTGTTACCTTTTCAAATATTACCAGATACTCTTTTCTCTATATTGTGTTTCCAAGGTGAGACTGCCTTCAATAGTAACTTAAACACTTGTATGTTTAAACAATCAAGTTTTCAGACTATTCAGTTAGAAATGGGAATACCTGAGACTCTTGACTGGGCTCAATCAGAAAAATACCCTTTTTATAGCACTCTCAACCAAGCAATAGAAGGAGGCTTTGCGAGCAGGAAACATACTGGTTCACTCACAGTTCCTCCAAAACCACTGCCCCGACCTGCCTTTCTCTCAAGCTTGAGTCTCCATCAGTGGTTTTTAAACTGGAATTCGTGGGCGCTGCCTCTGGAGTAATTCAGTCTCTCTCATGGGAAGTAACCAAGACAAGAGGGACTGTTGTTTTGAGGCTCGTACCTGTTATGTGCATCTCCAGGAGAAAAACTGAAAACTTCTTTAAAGGATGTGAACATATTGTGTGCGTTTTTCCAAAGCAAAGTGGTTACACTATTTAATGGCTGATTCTGAACACCAAAGCTTTACTCATGTAACAGCCATTGAGATGGCTGTTGCTGCATCTACAATGGTTGGGACTCTGCACCGTTTTAATCGTTAACAGTACTGTGAGAACTTTATACATAGGTAATGGGAAAATGAAGGGAAGGTGAAAAGATTGTCAAAGATCTTGGAAAACCATTTTCCTCCTCATCAGACTAAATATGGTTCCGTGATTTAGTGCTCATTTCTACATAGATGGGAAGCATTTTGAGGAAGGAATTGTCTTTTGCTGAATGCGGGTAAGGTATCCCCTGTTGGGGATTCTCAGTCGGTCCCTTCAGGTGATGCAGTTTTAGAATTGCAGTCTGCACACACAGCTTTTAGTCAGGTGTACTGTCAGTTTGTGCTGGGCTGATGAGCAGTATGAGGAATAATCACTGATGTTTGCAATCTGTAATTCAGTTCTTAGGCTGTGATGTTACCAATGAAAGGGAGGACAAGGCTGTGCTCAGGCAGCCCTGGGAGAGACAGAAAGGGAGCAGTGACTGGGGTAAGGTGGCTGGTAATAAGGTCCAGACTACAGGTCAAGCTGGTGCACGCTTCTTTTGTTTGGAAAATTAATTTGTTACTAATGTATTTCATTAATTTTCATGTACCAAATACAGCGGCTGTGTGGTTGCTCAGAAGTTGATTGGCCAAGTTAAGGTAGAATAATCTTCCAAATGAATGTACCTGTTAAGTTAATAGAAATTGTCTACCAGTGAGGTCCAGAAATTGGAATATATTCCAAATTGCTATGAAATATAGGAACGGCGTGATTTTACTGAAACGATAGATAAGCTCCTAGGCATAAAACTTCTGCAACACAGAAGCGGAGCGTATTCGCCCGCAGTACTTTCCTTGCGGGCTGTGCAGCACCGCGCTCCCAGCTAAGCCGACGCGGCTCCGGGAGTACGTCTCCTCCGAGCGGCCGGCCGCCCGGCGTCGCTGCGGGGCTGGCTGCGCGGGCGCCTCCCTTAACGCCCAGGTTTCGGCACCGACGTGGGTCTGCGGCACCGCCGCCGAGCGCCTCCGTCCGAAGCGGGTCCAGCGGAGAAATGTCAACGC